GTGAACCTGCTTTAGCAGGGGGTTGGACTATACGATCTCCAGAGGTCCCTTCCAACCCCTGCTGTTCTGCAATTCTGTGATTTACGTATCTAATACATCATCCTCTTCCTTTCCTACTTTCGCCCCAGCCAAGTAAGGTAAAGATAACAGGGGCTTCCTACTTCATAGGACCAGTACAAATAGAAACCCTTTGAAGATGCAATATAGTCTAATCCTGTATTGAGAATCACACACAAAAAAAAGCTAACAACAAAACCAGAAAGAACCCCTAAACTCCCCTTTGTTGCATCCAGAAAAAAGACAAGAAATGCCAAAACTAAGGCTACACAAAAGATTAAATCCTGATGAAGTCTGCATATGTGAAGCCATGTACTAGCTTTTCCTACCCCATTCAGTGCATAAGAGGGATAGTAGTCAATGACTGAAATGCTATTCAGCCTTTTCATACTGAATCAATGTGCTTTTCTAGTTACACATTTAAGTACTATCTTAAAATACAGAATTATTCATTTCCCCAGGGTTTTTTTTCCCTCATCTCTCACTCACAACACTCACAGTGTCTAAGCAATCACAAATATTAATGAATTTATCATCTTGCAACACTCTTGCGTAGTGAACTTGAACTAGTACAATCATTTCATGCATCCAAATATGAGGCAGAAAGAGATTAAGGCCAAAATTGTCAAACATCAGGTGTCAAGTTCAATACAGCAGAAGCATATTTTCTTACAGAGTGCTGTAGGTGTTCACAATTCAGCTCAATTTTCTTCTTTACAGGAATGAACTCAATACTTCTGCAGTGGAAAAGGTGAGGTGGATAGACAAACACCTCCAAAACTTCAGAGCCCTGTTGCTGCAGTCCTCTATCTCATTCCCTAAATGCCTTCCAATTTCTGCAATAAGTGAAGCAGGTGCCAGTCATTACACAGCCCTTATTCACTCCCTGTGCATCACTCATCCCATCCACTGAATGGTACTGGGGTCACATGAAAAATAGTATGCAGTCATGTAATTAGAAACCAAATGATAATGCATATGACAAGGGATTAAAGTTGCCCAGGACATCTTAACTTCGGCATTTGCCAATTTCCAAGTTTTCAATTTTGCAACCTTAACATCATTTTAAGAATTGTGGATGCTATCTGAAGAAATTTATAAAGTCAAGTGTCCTAGTATCTGAAACTCTGCAATGCAGTCATCAGCAGAGTTGAAAGGCAAATCAAAACTCAGAATTACAGCGCTAGAGATAAACAAGGAACTGTAGCAGCTATGGAACACGATCGACACGTAGCAAAAGGAGGAGGAAAATATTCCTCCAAGTGGACTTACTCCTTTTTGCTAGACTCTGAAGGAATTCTACATGCCAGTGGGAAAGTTGCTCTAGCAACTGTAAGCACTTTCACTCTTTTTCAGTTTCCCCACTATTGTCTCCTTCATTATACTGTTTTTATTCCAGTTCTAATTCTTCTCACATCCTGACTTCCTGTCCTACTTTTCCTATTTGCTTTGTACATTCGATGTGTCCAGTCCTTCCTTTACAGTGGATTTCAGATTCTCACCTATATAAACTCTGTCCCAGCTCCTATCTCAACTCCTTCCCAAATTCCCATACCTGTGTTTAGTCAGACTACACCCTTCTCCAGACTTTATCAAAACCATCTCTCAAAAAGATTCTCTCTTGGGCTTAGACTTGAAAATTTGGTGTTACAGCAATTCCACTTAGAAGGAAGAAGATTTTAAAGTAAGTATCTCTCCAAACTAAAGCCACTGTAGTTTGGAATAGAGCACAAGGAAGATGGAACATGTGAAATCTCTATGTTTCCTAAGAGTACGGGCAGTGCAATTCACATTTTCAGAATTTTCTCCTAGACTGAAGCAAATCTCAACCCAGGATGTACTTGGGCCAGATCTTCACGGCAGAGCCAAGGTTCAACAAGAGCTTAGAAATGTCTGTGCCAGCAGTGAACTGCATGTAGGAGTTTAACAGGAGGAGGTGGATGGACAAAGACACTGTATAACCATAACTGCAGATATTGTCCCTAGCTTCATTTGTGATGTAAAAGTGTGGTTTTGTCTTAAACACTTAATATTTATTTGGCATGGCTGCCTAGGATATTACCTCTCCATGCCTGCAAGGAAGGTTTCTAGAATATACAGCAAAACCCCATGACAATAGACATATTCAGTCAGTACTATTAGAACTCTCAGAGCCATAGGACACTGACAAGTTCTTTAAAGAAAACTCAGTAATTTACACTATAGTTCTCAAATAAAGACTTGCATTTTAGAGAAGAAACTACTATCAAAATGGACAAATTTTAGTGTACTGGAAAGAAGCCCCTGCACAATTATATCAAGCACAAACACACGTAAATATTTTCACTTGCAAAAGGCAGCCTGCTATCCCCACTTCCTCTCTGATATCCATAATTGAGATGTTTAAGACAAAGTGTTTTGAAATCAAATAAAATCTTCGTAGTAACAAAACACTGAAGAATACTTCCATGAGATGTAGAATAATAAAACATGGCTTCCTTTGCAGCTCTGAAGTTTTATACAAATTGGAACTTAGTACCTCTTTGTTAGCCAAATCTCCGCTAACTTTGACTGAAAACAATCAGCCCATTCAAAATTTGATATTTAGAGTTCTTATACAAACCTTGTTTTTCTAAGGAAACCAGTGAATAAGAAAACCACGATAACCGTATTTTTACAACGCTCTAAAGCAATCAAACTGGGGGGGGGGAAATGCTTAATCAGTGAGGAAATGCAGGAACACAGGATTTAATCAAGTCCTTGACATACAATAGGAAGCCAATCACGGATGTGCATATTCCAAAATATTTCGGTTTTGTATTATTTAGGGCAATGTTCTATCCCCCTCACTTGTACTAGGTGGTATCTAACTCCAGATTTTTCCAATTAATCTCAATGGAGTAACTTAGAGGGGGTGGGATAACCTGCCTGTCCATCTGCAAACCCAGAAATAAAGGTGGCAGTCCTTTATTCCACAAGCTCTTGCATAAGCCTCTAGTTTTCTTTCACTGTAAACAACTGCTGTTAACTACAGGTCCTTTTTTCCTCACTTGTTATTTGTTTTCATCATTACATGCATTACATGGCAGTGAACATTACATACCTTCCACCACCTTCTTTGCAGTTGGGACATGTGCAAGCTACTCGTCGCAGTCTTTTTCCCTCTTGATGTGGTTGGTCCCCTTCCTCATCTACCACCTGTACTCTCAAATGTGTTAGATCATTGGTATTCAGTGTAGAATCACCACTGAGCTGCCACTCTTCTGGATCAGGCTCCTCTTCTTTAATCCTAATATCTGAGGAAAAGAACAAACACAGATCCCTAAGTAGCCCATTAGAGAGAACGAAACCATAATGATCAAATCTTTTTACTGTTGAGAGCACTATGTCAGTCAAAAGTCAACATCCTTTAGTGCATACTGACATTGTTTCTGTGCCCTTGTAACCTGCAACGTATTTAAAAAGTTTATCTCACTATACATTTCAAAGTTAAAGACAAGCTATATCAAAGTATTGAAGTATAAGTTTGAACTGTTCTTGGCAAGGAAAGCTGTCACCAGGAGGATATTGCTTGCTTGAAACTGGGGAAAAACTGAGGAACAAGAGGTTGGGGAAAAAAAAAAAAGTAAACGCATCTTTTAAATCATCCCCGGTAGCTATTTACATTTCCTTAGGACTTCTCAATTACTGTCACATGTAGTAGAAACAGCCTTTCTCAATGATCTTCAAAGTTTTCAGTACGTACAGTGATATATCAAGTAACATGAGAAATCAATTAAATAAAAGGTTTCGACTTAAGAAAGACCAGACATTTAAGAAAACCAAAAAACCTCAAACATGCCTTTGTTCCATATTCCCCTTCTCACTTCAAATTTATGCCTTTTCCACTATACATAGAGAAGAAAGCATTTAGAGAATAATGTTATTCAGCATTAAAGAGAGGTAAGCAACATAGGAACCACTTTAACATTTTGATGAGCTAGTAGCCAAACAGTCTCTGCAGTTCCATGGATGGAAAAAAGCCTCTTAAGTTATCCTCAGCAGGATGGACATCTGCAAGTATGTGTACCTCTCCCAACAGAGCATTCATCCAATCTAATCCAAGAACTAATTACAGCATCATAGTAAACTGTGAAACAACAACTATTTTAACAAGTTTACATTTAATAGGAACATTTTTCCCCTCAGAGACTACTCTGGATTCCCAATGAGCCGAAAGTCTGTAAGTCTGGACTTCAAAAAAAGATAGTTTCTATCTATCATTTTAGAAAGCTGAACCCCAGCCCCTTCCTGTGGTTTAGCAGAATAGTTTACTTTGTATTTTTTTCAGTGAAAACGATTAGCCACTAGCACAAACTAATAAGCAAGCCATCAATTTTTATTTTTTTTCTTTTGTTGAAGCTTTGAACTAAAACCTGCGTGTCTTTCTGGATGTATTTAAGAGACTGCTTTCTCTGCAGAACAATCACATAGATTTTTATCCTTAACTCAAATCCCACTCAAACACTGAAACCTTAACCGAGCACTGTGGCCACTCTAAATTCTTTCTCAGAGTCACTGCATCAGTTATCATCTGATTGCATGATAGAACATGAGAAAAACTGTGCTGGGTCAGACCCTAAACAGCCACCTGTCCCAGCAGAGATCAGGAAAGAAATTAATGGTACCACACGTTAAGAATAACGGTTACCTGGTCCAACTTCCTAATCATCTCCAGCATTCACCTGTTCAGAGACAAAGGATGTAGCTACACCCAAGTATTTGCTTGGTGCTAATAAAGTCTCAGCCCAGTCTTTCCCAGCACCACAGTTTGCCTTCCTTTTACTCGCACATCTACAACTATTTGCAGGACTGTGCCGTAAACTACCTTACTGATGTAACTAAAGTTAAAATAATTCCCTAGGAAACCACTGCATTGGGAAGAGAACTCCAGGTCAGAAACAGGGATGTCTAGCATATTTACCTGGTTTGGCTGCAAAAGTCAATGCTAGAAATTAAGTTTGGATGAATATGACAGGCTCTGAGCTGTGAGAATCCAGGAGCTAGCACACTCACTTTTGCCGACTCATTATGCACGTGGTAACATCCAGTAGAACTACTGTGGTAAGACTGTCCAAAGTCACCTGCACACTGAGCTTCACTGTTACTGTAAGAAGTTCACAATTTCAGACAGCAAATATATTCCACGTGAAGACCTAGAAAACCTCTGTGGTGACTGCTAGTCCTCTGAATTAGCCACCAGACTATCTTTCCTACCAAATTATGTAATTTTCTGAGACTCATCTATGAAAAAATTTTATTTTCCATAATAATTCGTATATACATGTTACATATAAAATGGATTTCACATAAGCAGAGATTAAAACACTAAAGAACATACAAAGATTTGATGGAATTGATCTTTAAAACTGGATACTATTAAGTCTACTAATACATTCACCTACAGCAACTTTAGAAAAAGCCAAAAGCCTGATTTAGTCTTATGCAACAGGGTATGTAACAGAAATTTAAATACAGCAAAGTGGCAAGGCTGCCAGCACAGGCCAGTTCAAGCCTCCAAGCAGTTCTTTGGGACTGGAGATACCCAAATATTCTTTTACCATACTCAAAATTCTTTTACCGACCAAATGTTCCACAAAACGTATGTTGTATAAACTCTGGTTTTATTTAAAATAAGAATCAAAGTAACATTAATAAAATAAACCACCGTATTAAGAAGATAACTTCATTATGATCTTACTAACATTAGACACTGGCACATAGTGAGTCTGTGAAGTCTGTAGCTGAATCCAGTTAGCGCTGCATACACATGCTTCAAAAGAGATAGCAACATGTCCTAGCAAAGATGAAGAGATCAAATTAGGCCATGGATCTGTGCTCCCAAGACCAAACTCCACTATTGAAGTCAAATATTTCATGTAACATGGTTTCTCCCATCATACTGACACACCAAAGTCACACTCTAACAACAGAGATACACCTAACAATAGAAACATGTCCAGAATGTCTATTACTGCACGTCAGTATCCAGGACTTTCTACCTTCAACTCATGCAATGTTTGTTCCACTTTGCAAACTTTCATCATCAGTTCCTTCCGCTTTTTTCATCAGTATTTCTTTATTCCCAGTCCCTCCCAATAGCCACCATTATTGCAGCAGCACAAAGCCTCATAATAGTTTCATAACAGTGGAGGCATAAATCAGAAAATTATTTGGACAAAAAAGGAGGGACAGACAAAAGACTCCTAAGAGTGGAGAAAGTAACAATTCACATAGACATACAATAGCATTATTTTTAAAAATGCAAAGCTGAAATGAAGTCAAAGTAGCACTGCGTTCGTAATCTTTTGCTGTGTTTCCTCGTTATCTTGATAAGGCAGAAAGCAGAGCTATTGCTTTAGGTATTCCTCAGAAGGACCACCTTCTAATCCAGGCACACAGAAAAGTACAATGTAAACTGGCAATTTACAGACAGGATTTTTTTAATACTTACGTAGATTATACTTTAAATAAAACAAAATTAAAATAAATATGAAAAGATTAAGTGTTTATCTAGCCTCTGCAGGATGTAGTATAGCAGAGAGGGGATTCCATCAAATCCCATAGTGAATCTGATTGCCTTAACAAGGTCCTCAGAACCAGTAAGTCTGCTGCCCTCCAAGTAAGTTTTATGTTCTTGAAAGAGATGAGGGAAAATTCCATTACTTTTTCTGGGGGGAGAAGGGGGTGCCACCGTATTTTAGACAACAGTAAGAAAAAGAAGGAGAAGGGGCAAACCATGGAGAGGAGCAAAAGACAGGAGTCTTTCCCAATGCAATGGAACTGGAGATTATGCAAATTCATGTAGATAGCAACGACTCCGCATTTCTCCCTTGGTGACCGTTCTAATTCGGTCTCAGCTGACAGAATACTAGGTTTCACACATACTCTGCAAAAAATTGGGCCTAAAAAAAAATTTACATAATCACTAAAGTCATGACAAGCTGGTGCCAACATTGATAAACTTGAGGCAACTTTTGTTTTCCACCAATTAAACACAGGCTAAATGAAGGTTACGTTTGCTTTACTACTGTTTTATTTCCATGCTTTCAAATTTCTATGTGCCCTTACTACCTAATTCAATTCAAGACCTAGTACTAGGTAAGTATGAAGGGAAATTAAAACAAAGATACTGTTTCAAACTGCAGAAATATTCTGAAAACCATATATTCAGTTCTTCTTGGTATCTAGTGAGGTAGATTTGTTTTAGGCTTTGCTTTCCTCTAAAGGATGGAAATTGGGATCTTGGTGTACAATTTTATTCCAAAGGTAGTATTTCACAGTCACAGAAAGCCCAGAGACGGCTACAATAATGCAGCAAATTTAAGTGTATTTGGCAAATAAAAAACAATAACTAAGAGATTTGTTTAAAGCACTTCAGAGAAGAATAACTAAACGGACAGGACAAAACTGTGCAGATGCAAATGCAGCTTACAATATTCTTGAGTACATTTCAACTGTAATCTAGTGCGGGGAGAATTACTGCTTCCCACTGATAACAGCCAGGTCATTTACCTGCTTCACCACGTATCAGATGAATGCATCAGTTAAGCTTTGTGTTCTACCTTGTCTTGTTTCAAATAGGACTTTTAAGAAAATGCTGTTTTCTTCATCTAAGAGAAAAGTCATTAGTTGACCCAACAGCCATAGAAACAGGGATAAAATGAGAAGGGAGGAGGCTGCAGTGCAAAACCACTTCATTTGAGGACTAGGCCACCACTTTTTGGTCTATTTGCCTCTGCAGAATGTCACATAAAAGGCACCCTTCAGCATTATCTGTAACTGTCTCCAAACTGCAGGCTTCTAGTCTAGCTGCTTTTCCTAGATGCTGAAAGCCACCCTGACTTTTTACTCAGCTAAGCTTTACAAGTTCCTGATCTGAAAAGCAGAAATACGGTCTTTCAACCAAAAACAGATTTCCAGCACCACTGCACATACCTTCACACCAATTTCCTCGCAGAATCACAAAGTGGCTGTCTGCAGTTTCAACGTCTTGTAATCAGTCATACCTATTCATTTATTCTTGTAAATAGATGCTTCCCTTCCCACCACTCCCAAGAAAACAGATGTGAATTGCCATCTCCTTTCCATGTTCTCTTGTTAATTTTTTTTTCAGTTCTCTCTACAGTGCAACCCACATTCCCTCAGTATCTTGCCTTAACCTCTGGATGTGAGGAAGCTTTAATAAAGATGTTCAAATTTCTTAGACACTGTCCTTGTTCATTCCCATCTAAACTAAACTTCCTAAACTAAATTA